AAGGTGGGCAGTGGGTTGGAGGAGGGTGTGGAAGTGGCCAGCATGGGCTGGGCCCTGGGTTGGTGTGACTGGGCAGTGGGTTAAGGTGGGCAGTGGGTTGGAGGAGGGTGTGGGAATGGCCAGCGTGGCCTGGCCCTGGATTAGGGTGATGGGGCAGTGGGTTAAGGGGGGCAGTGGGTTGGAGGAGGGTGTGGGAATGGCCAGCATGGCCTGGCCCTGGATTAGGGTGACGGGGCAGTGGGTTAAGGTGGGCAGTGGGCTGGAGGAGGGTGTGGGAGTAACCATCATGGGCTGGAACCTGGGTTGGTGTGACTGGGCAGTGGGATTAGGTGGGCAGTGGGTTGGAGGAGGGTGTGGGAATGGCCAGCATAGGCTGGCCCTGGATTAGGGTGACGGGGCAGTGGGTTAAGGTGGGCAGTGGGTTGGAGGAGGGTGTGGGAGTGGCCAGCATGGGCTGGGCCCTGGATTGGAGTGTCTAGGCAGTGGATTGAAGGAGGGTATGAGAGTGGGCAGTGTAGGCTGGGCCCTGGATTAGGGTTCCAGGCATTGGATTAAGATGGGCAGTGGGTCAGAGGAGGGTGTAAGAGTGGTCAGCATGGGCTCAGCACTGGGTTGGTGAATGGGCAGTGGGTTAAGGTGGGCAGTGTGTTGGAGGAGGATGTGGGAGTGGTCAGCATGGGCTTGGCCCTGGGTTGGTGTGACTGGGCAGTGGCTTAAGGTGGGCATTGGGTTAGAGGAGGGTGTGGGAGTGGCCAGCTTGGTCTTGGCCCTGGGTTGGTGTGACTGGGCAGTGGGTTAAGGTGGGCAGTGGGTTAGAGGAGGGTGTGTGAGTGGCCAGCATGGTCTGGACCCTGGGGTGGTGTGACTGGGCAGTTGGTTAAGGTGGGCAGTGGGTTGGAGGAGGGCATAGGATTGGCCAGTGTGGGCTGGGTCATGGGTTGGTGTGACTGGGTAGTGGGTTAAGGTGGGCAGTAGGGCGCAGGAGGGTGTGGAAGTGGCCAGCATGGGCTGGGCCCGGGATTGGTATGACTGGGCAGTGGGTTAAAGTTGGCATTCACTTGGAGGAATGTATGGGAGTGACCAGCATGGGCTGGGCCCTGGGTTGGAGGAGGGTGTGGGAGTGGCCAGCATGTGCTACACCAAGTTTGTGTGACTGGGCAGTGGGTTGGAAGAGGGTGTGGGAGTCACCAGCATGGGCTGGGCCCTGGATTGGGGTGACTGGGCAGTGAGTTGGAGTAGGCTTTGTTAGTGGCCTTCATGGGCTGGCCCCTGGGTTGGTATGACTCAGAGTTGGTAGGGGGTTAAGCTGGACAGTGGTTTAGATGAGGGTATGGAAGTGGTTGAGCATGGACTTGGCCTTTGGTTGGTGTGACTCAGAGTTGAGACTGTAGGCCTGGAATGGAGAATTGCTTTGAGCTTAGCAGTTCTCCACCTGGGTGAGGGATGGGAAATTTCCTGTGCTATTGTCCCAGTAGAGATGAATACAGTAGACAAACCAGAAATTTTATACACTGCCATCAAGGAGTTTCTGAGGATTAAGGGTGATAGTTCCTTGAGGTGAGATGACCTGAAGCCACTGTGCTGGCACTCTATGTCATGGGTTGGGGCAGGTAGTCCCCACTCTATTAAAAGGCCATTTTAACTAGATTCTCTTTCAGTATAATTTGGCAAGCTGTAAGGGAGGACTAGATTTTGGTAGGAGTTAAATAAATAAAAATAAGAGTGGTTTGGATCAAAGGGTAACAGTGAGGGAGGGTAGAAATTGGTTTGACACACATTTTATAGCAATATAAAATATATTTATTTAGAAAATATATTTATTTATTTTTATTCACTTATTTTTGGTGTTGCTGCCATTGCCAAGGAGGTGTTATTCATAAAAATATTTTCCTCCCAGGCCAATTTTAGCAAGGATTTTTTCCACACTCTTTTCTACATTTTTTATTATTTCATGTGTTAAATTTAAATCTTTTATCCAGTGAGAGTCAATTTTTATCAGTGGTAAGAGGTGTGAGTCTAATTTCAGTCTTCTACATGTGGGTAACCAGTTCTCCCAGGACTATTTATTAAATTGGGATTCTTTTCCACAGTGAATGCTTTCGTTTGGTTTATCAAAGATCAGATGGCCATATGTGGCTGAGTTCATCTCTAAGTTCTCTAGATAATAATTACTTTGAATTTATGGAATAATTGTTTTTTCTCCTTGTTTCAGTTTCTTTGCTGAAATTATTTAGTTGTTCCTTCAATAACAGAAACAATAGTTTTGTCTTTTCTTTTAAACCCTTGGACACATTTATACTAGGTGTTTTAAAGTCCTCATTGGCTCTTTCTGTTATTTCTGATTTTTCTCCTAATTATAAGTTATCTTTTACCCTTTATAGGTCATAATTTTACTGCTTCTTAACATGCCAAGTAATTTTTATTGTATCCTGAGCATTATGGATGTTAAATTGTGAGTGTCTGGATTTTATTTTCTTTAATAAAAGTATCTGGTGAGCAGTTAATGCATTTGGACATCATGCTTTTATTTTCTAGACCTATATTAAAGCTTTGCTAGAGATGGCCCATGATAGTCATTATTCTTGGGATACATCAGCTTTATTCCTATGACTTAGGCTTTTCTAAAACGGTACAGATTTGGTTAGGGAGCTCAAAGAGAACTCTTCTCTCTGGGTGTTTAATATCCAAACTGTCCCATCCGTGTTTATGTTCCAGTAGTTGTTTAGCTCACTTCTGTCTAGTTTTTGGAATGTTTTAAAAATTATTTATTTCTCTGGTAATTGCTCTTTTCCCAGCCTCATGGATTCCTGCCCTTCACATGAGAAATTTAGTGTTCAGTGAAAGACCAAAGAGGACCCTTATGCAGATTTCTAGAGCATTATCTCTATACAGCTCTCCTCTCTCCAACATCTTGTCCTACAAATTCCAGCAGTATTAACATTCCCAAATTCACTGGGTCATCAGTTCACTGAGTCCACGGTGCTCTGTTTTGGCTTATCCTCCCTAGACCACAATTTAGACTTTGCCTCTAAGAGAAATTCAGGATGATTTGGAGACTTACCTCATTTAGTTTCCTTCTTTTAACAATCATAATTCTATTTTCCAGTGTCTAAAAGCAGTTACTTCATATATTTTGCCTACTTTTATAGGTGTCTACAGCAATAGAAGTGGAAGTCCTTCTGAATTTGTTTTATAATGGCAAAGTTTTAAGCGTGTAGTTTTAAACTAATTTTGAGATCGTAGAGAAGTTACAAAAATAGTATATGGAGTTTTCAACATAACCTTCACCCAGCCTCCCCCAATGTTAACATCTTAGACAATTATTAAAAAAATTATCATAACTAGGAAATTTACATCATCACAATAGCCTTAACTAAATTAAATGTTTCATTCAAATGTCATCATTTTCCCACTATTGTCCTTTTTAAGAATCCCAATAAGAATCCCATATTCCATTTAATTACTTCTCCCTGGACTCCTAAGATCTGTGATAGTTCTTCAATCTTTCCTTGTTTTTCATAACCGTGACAGCTCTGCAGAGTACTGATTAGTTATTTTGCTGAATGTTCATCATTGTTTTTCTCATCTGGCATTTTCCCATTGTTAGACTGAGGGCTTACTCCCTTGAAAAGAGAAACAGAGAAATGGCGCCATATCTTTCTCAGTGTTCTCACAGTTCATGATGTCAATATGTCTTATTCCTAGTGCCATTGTCCTTGATAACCTCATCAAGGTGGTCTCTCCTGGGTGTTTCCACTATAAAATTGCGGTCATTTCTGCTGTGATGAACAAATATCTTAGGAGAGACATTTTGAGACTATGGAAATACCTTCTCACTTCAAATCCTTGCCCACTGATTCTAGCACTCTTTAGTGGATCATGTATGTCAGGAGGGAAATAGACATCATCATACATGCAGCAAATTCCCTAATAATATTAGCTGTCAACTATCATAAGTATATACCCAAAATGTATATCCTGATATGTAAATTAGAAAAAAATGTGCATCTGTTTTGTGCATTCCAGGGGTGCTTAGTTTATTCCGGTGAGTATCTCATTTTTATTCAATCTTTTTCTATATACTAATTCACATACAACAGCTAAAATGTTCTAATTGCTGCAGATACCAGAGCTTACCCTGATCATATGCATTGGGTCTAATTCTTGAAAACAA